TTTTTCTTCTATTTCCATGTTCCAGGTGCCAAAAGCTGCATTACCCACTCTTCATTTCACAGCCTGGTTGGCTCATCTCGTCCAGGGGTTCTCACCTGCCCTTGCAGCAGAAGCATCTGAGAGTCGTTTTCAATACGGGTGTGTGTACCCCTGCCCCAGAGAGCTGATCTCAGGTGAGACTGGGCATTCATGATTTTTGAAGCAGCCCAGATGATTCTAATGAATTGCCAGGATTAAGAAGCCCTCATCTTAGCTGCGTCCAGGGAAGAGTCCTTTCCGGCTCCCTAGTGAGAAATACCTGGAACTGTATAAGATGACTACTGAAACTCCTTTTGGATTTGGTTTTATACACATATCTTTATAGTAAATGTATATAGCTTTCATTTCTAATAATCTTTTCCAACAAAATCTTTCTAATGTCTACAAAGCTCTGAGTTAAAGGACTCTTAGATATTATTTTCGTTAGATTGGGAGGGCTCTCTGGACACGTAGATCACCCAGACTCAGGACCACATTGAGCATCACAGTGAGGAGCCTTGCTAAGCTAAGCTGCATGCCCTTGTGGGGTGTAGGTGCTTCATCCTGACTGCTGTGTGTGCATTGCTCATTACACTAGCAGAGCCCCACCAGGAGAGAGGGAAGGAAACAGTATGAGAATTGAGCAGGCTGTGTACACGCACACTCACAGCATTCCCAACTGGCAAAAAAGAGTGGGTGTTCCAGGTAAGAGTAATGGGAGAATGAAAGGAGTTGCCAGGTAGAATAGCAAGTGAGGTGTGTGACCAGGGAGAAAAGGTATTCTCAAATACTCATGTGTCCTTCGCAGTTCTAAATTGTCTCCTTGCCTCAGAGGAGGGATGCAGTCCAGGGCCTCCGAATAATCAGCTGCTTTTGACCTTGCCAGTTGTCTTCATGGCTGGTTGCCTGGTACAGGGTGTGGTTGAAACCACTGGGATAATAACACCTCCTGGGGCCTAACACATCACCATTTACATTACCCTGGCGTGGTTCTTCTTGCCTTTGACCCTCACCAAAGCTAGCCCTTACCCCGGTTCAGGGAAGGGGAAGCTGGCCCCAAGCCCTCCTCTGATCCTACCATGCTTTACTGCCTACTGCAGGCATTATTCATAAGTAGTTGCCTGGTTGCTGGAAGCTGTTGCACAATGAAGAAGTCATGGCAACCAGCTAACATGTTCCATCTCTGAGAGAAAACAGCTTCTCTCTTCAGGCAAAGCTGCACCGAATGTGCCTTCCTCTAATAGTGACTCCCCTCAAGCTGCACAGCCAAACTCCTGAGCCAGCACTGCCCACATCCAGTGTCTGTTTGGCTCTCTCCCCTCCCCCTCATCTCGACAGTGACTTGCTCTTTCACTTCACACAGGACTCTGCGTAAAGGTCACCTTCTTAGAAACCGCTTCCTTGGCTACACCACCAAAAACTACACCCCATTCATCTGTATCCCTTTACCTTGCTTCCTTTTCTTTTCTTGTACTTAAACTATCTAACTTTCTATCAGATCCTCCTGCTCTATAAAGGTCTGTTTGGATCTCCTTTAAGAATACAAAGAACGTAAATCCCACAGAACAACCCACATGCTTTCTTTGTGTAAGGGAGCAAACACCTTTCCCATCCTCTCTTGGAAGAAGGCTCACACACAGATTACTTAGCTCTTGTGATTTCTCTTCATGAAATAGAAGTCCTCCTGGCAGCCTAAATCCCCAACCCACAGATGGCTTGAAATTACATACAAATGATTTCAGAAGCAACTTTTGCGATAAAACAGAATTCTAAAAACTCAAAAGGATAACTACAGACCCAAAACATAGTATTAAAAATTAGTTTTAAAATGAGCACATACAGATTTAAAACAGCAGTTTTTCTCCGTGAGGAACTAAGACATTGATCAAGAATATAAGAGCAAGGAACATAGTCATTGCGGAGCTTCAGCCATTCTCAGGGCAGTTGAGCCTGAATGGATCTATCCAGCATTGGGCCTGAGAATATAAAGAAAAGGGGAATTGGGAAGCAAGGCAAGCCTGCCCTTCAGAAGCTTCCACCACCTTCCCCCATCTAAGGGGACCCCTCTCACTGGCCCCAGCTGCCCAACACCAACAATGTTCCTTTCTCACCACTATTCATCAGAACCTGCTCATCAGGAAAGGAAACTTCACCCAAATGTTTGGAAAATAATGAATCCAACTTAAGAGTAAGTCTCCGAGGAGTTGTGTTATTTTAAACAGGAGATGTGTAATTCATTCTTAGAAAAGAAGCTCAAGGCCAGGTGTGGTAGCTCTTGCCTGTAATCCGAGGACTCTGGGAGTCCAAGGTGGGCAAATCACCTGAGGCCAGGAATTCCAGGCCAGCCTAGCCAACGTGATGAAACCCCATCTCTACTAAAAATACAAAAATTAGCTGGGCCTCATGGTGTATGCTTGTAATCCCAACTACTCAGGAGACTGAGGCACTAGAGTCGCTTGAACTTGTGAGTCAGAGGTTGCAGTGAGCCAAGATAGCGTCACTGCACTCCAGCCTAGGTGACAGAGCAAAACTCTGTCTCAAAAACAAAACAAAACAAAACACATGTATCACTTTATTTAGGAAGCTCTCCCTAACCCCTAAGACTATGTTAATTGCTACTAGTTGGGGGTCCCATAATAAATACTCTGTACATGTCTCTGTCTTGCATTTGCCACATTTTGTGACAGCTTGTATGTTGGTAAGCTCTATGGGGGTGAGGGATATACCAAGCTATTGACATAGAGCAGGTGCTTAATGAACATTGAAGTAAGAAAGGAAGGAACAAATGAATAAATGACTGTTTCCCCTACTGGACCAGCGCACTTCAAGGGCAGAAGTGGTACCTTATTTACCTTTCCATCTAAAAGGCAGTATAGCATAGTCAAGGTAGGACTCTGCAGCCAGGATGCCTGGGTAAAAATCCAGAGTTCGTCACTTAGTGGTGCTAACTGTGCGTCTGTTTTCTCCTCTGTTAACAGAAGATAATTAATAGTACCTACCTCATAGGATGTAATGATTATTAAAAGTAATATAATGAAAGTACTTAGACTGGTACCTACCACATATTATCATGTGAGTGTTAGCTATTATTGTTGTTATTAGTTGAATATCAATACCTACCTAGCAGAGATTTGGTAAATGGACATGTTGTGTACCAGTCACAGATGGGCAAATTCTCCTTTCCCTGAAATTCTGCCTATTTCATGGACACTGCTGGCCCTGGGCACATAGGATGAGAAAGATGAGGAGAAGACAAACTTACCAACCAGTAACTTCACTGTCCAGTATAGAATTATACTTTATTATATCATGTCCTGAAGCAGTGCTCATTTCAGTGGAATTTTACCACATTTCTTTAGATGACTACCTAAAGTTTGTGATTCCCTTTAACCAAGAAGGCTTAGTTCTTGAGTAGACAGAGTAGACAGTTGAATGCATATCTGTTTACCACTCTTTTATTTGTTGTCTTAGTCCATTTGGGTGGCTATAATGAAATGCCATAAATTATGTGGCTTGTAAACAAAAGAAACTTATTTCTCACAGTTATGGAGGTAAAAAGCCAAGGTCAAGGCACATTCAGTGTGTGATGAGAGCCCACTTTCTATTTAGTGGAAGGAGCTAGGCAGCTCTCAGGGACCTCTTTGACAAGGGCACATATCCCATTCATGAGAGTCTCACCCTCCAGACTTAATCATCTCCCAGAGGCCTCACCTCCTAATATCATTACCTTAGGGGTGAGAATTTCAGCATAGCAATTTTGGGGGCACAGAAATTTTCAGTCTCTCCAGAAATAAGAAAAACATTGCTTTGCTGCTTCTTAATTGTAGCAGCTTTTCTATTTTTGCATTAGTAGTAATTACGTACCCTTGATATTTCTGTGCTCAGAGTGCAGCAATCTGCCTGACAATCATGGCTTGCTTCTCCTTGGGCATAACTACTGAGTAAGTAGCAGGCAGGCCAGACTGACCTGTGCCACACACAAAGCCAGAGCCCACCGCCAACACTTCAAGCCCAAGGGCTATGATCTTGGGTGCATAGGACAGGAAAGACTGCCAGGCTATGTCAGTCTTTTTAATCACACTTACACATATAGGTTAACTACAGTTATGTGAGCAGGTCCTGAGAAAAGGTGGGGAAGAGAATGGAGAGTTTTGCTACAACAGAGGCAGAATTCTGAATTTATTTTCAGCTGCCCTTCTTATCCCTCATGGAGACCTAATCCTTTCAGCACCTACATACACAGCCTCTTTGGGAGCAACGTTCCTGCCACTGGCTCAGAAAGCCTGAGTCATAAGAATTCTATCTTGTTCCTAAGAAATCTCGAGCTTCTTTTGGGATAAGTGGCTTAATGAGACAAGATGAGTGATAAGCAAGAAGAGTCATTGTTATATCATTTTATGTTTTTATCATATTGTCATTGCACTGGCTAAGTTCCTCTTTAACGTTAAAATACTAACACAAATTGAGGCTGTGATAAAGGGCTTTCAATATGAATAGACAAGACATATAATGGAAAGAAATGTTTCCAGAATGGATTTCCATAAAAATGTGACAAGACTTTCTCAGTGCCATTCTTTAAAATCTCTGCTATTTTTCAACAAATGCCTGATGTTAAAGCATTTGCATAGCATTTGTTATATGTAAATTTTCAGTGCTGCAAAGAAAAGTCAGTATTGGGACAAAGGATCTCTCAGCAAAGCAATTTTTTTTTACTTCCTACAGAAAGGGTACCCTTGTTAGCAATCTTGCCATGAAAGTACAACAAACAAAGGAAAAGCAGGCATATTTATCCCTTATGCATTTGGGGTTGTCCTTACTGCTATGCCTGATCTCCATTGGTTGGAGGCACACCTCACAATCTAAACTAAAACCCAATTGGCTAACAACTTAAAACTTTTCTAAACAGGTAAAAGCAATGGAGAACAAAAAGGAAGCCCAAATAAAGAAGGGGGTAGGCTGCATGCTGGGACATGCCTGTGAGCATGTACAGCACAGATAACTTGGTTAAAGTACGAGGACATAGAATGTACTGCATGCCTGTAAGCATGTCTAGCAGCCACATAGGATAGAACTTAACAAAGAGCTACTAACAAAAAGCAATAAGGCTTTAAAGAAAGTATTTAAAACAAAGTATTATTTTTAACACTTATGATTTTTCTTAAGAAAGTAAACTTTGAAGAGGAACTTTTCTACTTCCCACAGTATCCCTTGGAGGGTTGGGTATAAAGACATGCATTAATATCAGGTTAACAGAAAGTATCTGCTATAACATATCTACACACAGATGCTCAATAAATGCCCATAGCATTTGTTATGACTAATTATTATGAAGTACAGAGACCCCTTTTATATCAAATAATTTAATAGACCTTCACTTCTAGATTTTGAACTCCTACTTGTTTGAGAATGTATTTTAAAAAATGGCCAGAAATATCACTATGAATTTCATTAAATCTTATATAAAGATCAAAATATAGGCCTCCAGCTGTGAGATTTGGAATCTCATCTTTCACTATCCTTTCACTATACTTTTCATAAATATTTAAGTAATATCATAATTAGCGTTGCTATCCTAGATAATTATTTAACTTCACTACATATCATAAACTGAAAATCTATGAAAAATTGGTATTATATACCAATTTAATTGCCTTGGGAAACATGATAGAAATGGACCATAGTTTGACGTTAGATGTTTTGGTATTAGGTTAGTGCAGAAATATTTGCTTTTAAATGGCAAAACCACAATTACTTTTGCACCAACCTAATAGTTCATGTGATATCACCAACAATCATCCAGAAAGCTTTGTATTCGTCTTAAATGAATCGTTACCATTAACAAAGCTTTCTTCTCTGGATTCAGCTGGAGAAGTTCATTTTGGAAAACATTTAAAACTATTATGCACATGAATCCCTGAAAATATATGAAGCTCTGGCAATAAAACAGCAAAAAAGAAATGAAGGCTAATACAGAGGAAAACAATTAGCCAGTGCAAAAGGTTTTCTGTTATTTTAATTATCATTCCTTAGATGTTTTGGCTGAAGATAGAAAAACAAATAGATATGTTTTCCTAAAATATCATCACTTTATTTTTGTGTCACAGTTTTTATTTGTTTAATATAAGATAATAGAGAAGAAAATTATAGAGATAAAATTAATTGTAGTAACCAAAAAAAAAAAAATCGATTATAGTAACCAAAGGAAATCAGTCTGTATCTCCAAAAGCTTTGTGTGAAAGCCCATCAATGTGTTTGGCAGATGTTTTACAAACACTTAGGGAATCTGTCATGAACTTTAAACAGAAGACCAAGGGAGCTTTTTCTGTTTGCCAAGTAATCTAGGAAAACAAAAATAAATTAAACCCATTAGCCTAGTTTAACATCATGTGCTTCCCTCACTCACTGCTCTCCCCATTGCCAGGGCTTACGCTCATATACTGAATGGTACTTACATTTCATAGGTAATATGAATGGTACTTACGTTCCTTAGGCAATATCAGTTGACCCCATTTCAAGACTTTAAAAAAGCCTCATCACTATGCACCCAACATTAACACTCAAAGCCCTGCAGGGCTGTACCTTGGACAGCTGTTTCTACTGAGTATTATACTCAGCAGATGAAATGGTAGCAGCAGCAGCAGCATCTATGAACTGCCTTATAATAGATTGCAACTTGGCTGCACTTAGTCATCACCAGGGCCACTCACTGATGTGTGGACTTCACCCTCAGAGACTCTGATTTCATTGGTCTGGGAGTGGCCTGGACATCAGGATCTTTTCCTTTAAAAAAAATAATAATAATCCAAAGGCAGTTGCAATGTTTTCCCTAATGGCTACGTCTCACACCAGGAAATTGACCTCAATACAATGTGTGTGTATAGTTCTCTGTCACTTTATCACATGTGTAGATTCATATAACCAGCATTGCAATTATGATACAGAACTATTTCATCATCACAAAGACATGCCTTTATGGTATCACCCACCTTCTCTCTACTATCCCTAACTTCTGACAAACATTAATCTTGATAATTTTGTCATTTCAGGAATGTTAAATAAATAGAGTCAGCCAGGTGCGGTGGCTCACGTATGTAATTCTAGTACTTTGGGAGGCCAAGATGGGTAGATTATTTGAGGTCAGGAGTTTGAGACCAGCCTGGACAACATGTCGAAATGCTATGTCTACTAAAAATACCCCAAAATTAGCCAGGTGTGGTGGCACGCGCCTGTAGTTCCAGCTTCTTAGGGGGCTGAGGCATGAGAATCACTTGAACCCCAGAGGTAGAGGCTACAGTGAGCTGAGATTGCACCACTGCACTCCAGCCTGGGTGACAGAGTGAGCCTCTGTCTCTAAATAAGTAAATGGAGTCATACAGTGTGTACTCTTTTGAGATTGGCTTTTTTCACTCAGCATAATGCACCTAAGATCCATCTAAGTTGTATAAATTGATAGTTCATTCTTTTTTATTGCTGGTATATATGTACTACACCTTGGGGCTATTACAAATTTTTAAAAAAGTATTAAAGTTTTTGTGTGTCCAGCTTAGGCAACATAGCAAACCCCATCTCTACCAAAAAAAAAAAAATTAGCCAGGCATGGTGGCATACATCTGTGGTTCCAGCTACTCAGGAGACTGAGGTGGGAGGATTGCTTGAGCCCAGAAGGTCAAGGCTATAGTGGGCCACAATCACACCACTGCCCTCCAGCCTGGATGACAGAGCAAGGCCCTATCTCAAAAAAATTTATAAAAAGTTTTTATGTGGGAACATGAATGTTTTTATTTCTCTGGCACAAATGCCAGAAGTGCAGTTGTTGGATCATATGTCAATTATATGTTTAGTTTATAAAGAAGCCACCAAACTTTTTTCCAGAGTGGCTGTACCATTTCTCATCTCCACCAGCAATGAGAGATCCAATTTCTCCACATTCTTGCAAACATTTGGTATTGTCACTATGTTTTATTTTAGCCACTCTGTAGGTATGTGGTGAAACTTCATTGTGGTTTAGTTTACATTTCCATCAAAATGAGTGATGTTGAACATCTGTTCATGTGCTTATTTGCCATCTGTATGTCCTCTTCAGTAAAATGTCTCTTTGTATCTTTTTCCCATTTTCTAATTGGATTTGGGCATGGGCCAGAGAGATGGAAGAGGGACAGTGCATCAGAAAGTTCCCTAAGTGTATCTACTATGCAGCCAACTTTGGGAAGCACTGCCTCGTTATAACTTCTTTATATACGCTCTAAATGTAAGCCATTACACCTATGCTAATATTACAATAAGGTAGGTGTGGCCACTGGCTAATTAAATATGCCTGCAGTCCAGAGGAAAAGAACTGGAGATGCTTTTCATGACCTCAGGTTTTTTGCATATACTTACCATAAGGCTGGATGAGTGAGACCTGCAGGGAATATGTCTGAAAATGTGGCCCAAATTATCTTCTGCTTCAGAATCATGGCATGTGTGTGTCCATGTGTGCACCTGTGTACATGTATGAAAAACAGTGATATACCAGTCCCAAACTCCAGACCTACTAAATCAGGACTTTTGAGGGTGAGGCCTAGAAATCTACATACATAGCCCAGGAGATTTCCATGCTCTCAAAAATTTGAAAACTACCTTGGTCAAGGAAAACTTAGGGACCCAATCTCCACTTCAGGGCATAGGTGGATGCCTTCCTATTGAGAAATTGGTTGGCCAGACATGGTGGCTCATACCTATAATCTCAGCACTTTGGGAGGCCGAGGCGGGCAGATAATGAGGTCAAAAGATCAAGACCATCCTGCCTAACACAGTGAAAACCCATCTCTACAAAAAATACAAAAAATTAGCTGGGAATGGTGGCACATGCTGTGGTCCCAGCTACTTGGGAGGCAGAGCCAGGAGAATCACTTCAACCCGGGAGGCAGAGGTTGCAGCAAGCTAAGATCATGCCACTGCACTCCAGCCTGGGCGACAGAGTGAGACTCTCTCTCAAAAAAAAAAAAAAAAGAAAAGAAAAAAGAAATTGATTTAGACAAGGCATAGTGGCTCCTATCTGTAATCTCAGTGCTTTGGAAGGTCAAGGCAGGAAGATTGCTTGAGGCCTGGAGTTTGAAACCAGCCTAGGCAACACAGCCAGACTCTGTCTCTAAAAATAAATAAATAAATAAAGAGGTCAGGTGCAGTGGCTCACATCTGTAATCCCAGAACTTTGGGAGGCGGAGGCAGATAGATCACCTGAGGTCAGGAGTTGGAGACCAGCATGGCCAACATGGAAAAATCCTGTCACTAACAAAAATATGAAAATTAGCCAGGTGTAGTGGTGGGCACCTGTAATCCTGGCTACTCAGGAGACTGAGACAGGGAGAACTGCTTGGACTCAGGAGATGGAGATTGCAGTGAGCTGAGTGTCACTGTACTCTAGCCTGGGCAACCGAGCAAGATTCCATCTCAAAAAATAAAAATAAAAATAAATAATAATAAAAAAATAACAAAATAAACCAAAACAGGCATAGTGGCATGTGCCTATAGTTTCAGCTACTCAGGAGACTGAGATAGGAGGATTGCTTGAGACTAGGAGTTTAACACTGTATCATGAGCTGTGATTGTGCCACTGCATTCCAACCTGGATGACAGAATGAGACTCTGTCTCAAAAAAANAAAAAAAAAAAAAAAAAAAAAGAGAGAGAAAGAAAGTAAAAAAGGAATAGAGAGGAGTTGGCTTGAGCCAATTTGGGGCATAGAAGCTTGTGTTCTGCTTCAGAAATGTGAGGAACAGAGAGAGGCAGGATAGTGTGTTTTTGTGTACTGCCAAGCTGTTCTTCAGAAGCAATAATTTGTAGTGATCAATAAAGATAATATAACTAACATGTATGAGCACTATCAGTGCTAGGCTTTCCCCACATGCTAGCTCCCCTAATTCGTAGAACAAGTTAGAGGTTATTATATTCTCTACTTTGTAGATGAGGAAACTGAGGTTCAGAGAGTCCTGGTCATTTGCCCAAGATCATTTGCCGGAGGACTAGCAGATGTAAGACTATTTTTCCTTCTGGAATCT